CAACATATAATTGTCCATGTGAGAAACAATTTTCAATTGCTGGAAAGACGTTGGACCGGGCACATTTACCAACAGAATGTGAAGAAAGAAACATTCCCAGGGTGGTCCCCTCTGACCAGGGTCATGCCATTGCCAGCAGCGGCAAGGTTTGTGAGGGTCTTGCCCACCAGGCGGGCCCTGCCATTCGCTGCACCGGCCACGACTCCCCCAGTAGAGGTGGCCCCCACAGGGAAGTGAGCCACAGTGGCCCCTGAAAGAGCCGCCACAGAGGACGCTCCTGCAGGCCCCGGCCTGGCGCCCTCCAAGCTCCCCGTGACAGGCAGCCTCTGGAACAACGTGCTGGATGGGCCCCCTCCAGACATGGGTGGGGGGACCCTAGTATGGGAGGGAGGCTGGAGGTGTCCCCGTGGGCGTAGTGGGGTGGTGGGTGGGCACTGCTGTTGGTTAGGCCTCAGGGCTACTGAGCTGGGCGAGGCTGGTTGGGGGAGATGACGCCGGGGCTGTTGGCCTCGTGGAAGTTGTTCAGCGACTCCTCGGAGTCGGTGGCCCGGGAGAGCGAGACATCCAAGATCTTGGAGGAGGAGAAGTCCTCAGTGTGTGACTCATCCAGGTCATCGTAGCTCTCCATGTCTTTGGCGATGCTGATGTTGGAGCTGAGGCTGGCCGAGATCTGCGCCAGGGTCACACTGGTGATCTGGAAGCCACTCTTCTTCTTTAACTGGGCACCCGTTGGCCCCCCCAACGCCTCCTCCTCCCTGCAAGAGCAGCACCAGGCTCTGTGGCGGAGGTGCCCCGGGAGGGCAGGAGGAGATCGAGACAGAGGCGGCTGCAGAGGCCGGGGGAGGCAATGTTGGCTGGGCCAGTAGGCCGGGTGGGAGGTCCTGCTGCGGCTGCCGGCCTGCCGAGACAGCATCACGGGCTGCGCCATCTTCTTCCTCTCCCGCGCCTCCACCGCTGAATCATGCTGCTGCTGCTGCAGGGGCAGCCAGCATTGGGTGCTGCAGGAAGGATGCCCACTCACTTCAGCACCCTCCCCAACCCGCTGGCGCTTTGGTTCTGGGCTGCCACCTTATGCACAGGCCCGCTCCCCCTCCCACTCCCTGCTGTAAAGTAAGACAATTTTCAACTGAGTAAAGTGGTCGATGTCCCTGGAACTATGTTGTTATATATCCAAGGATGTGCCTAGCTCTGAAGCAAGTAACAGAAGCGAGAAACCTGATAGCAAAGGATACAATTCTTTTACAGAATTAATTCCTAACAAATAATTCCTAACCGTAGCAGAACAGCACAAGCAATTCTTAACAGAAACAAATAGCAAAGGTTAGATTGATAGATTGATTCGTGTCACTATGTCCTTTCAAATCAATAGCGCTGATATAATGGCTTTTACATCTATTTAAAGGCACGGGATTCGCACTTGTAGTTTTAGAAGAACCGGCTTTAAGCTCCTGAACAATTTACTTTAACAGAACGGGGAAGGCCTCTCAATCAACTTCTCCCCGGGGTCCCCACAAAAGAGCCACAGCCAGTTGGGCGTCTCTGCGAAACGAAGCGTGGAAGCGGTCCAGCGTCTCCCAGAGTGTGGCGGTCGTCGCCCCGCCCCCCGCCCCAGAAAGCAGCTCGGTTGGTTGGTTCTTCCTCCTCCGGGCTTCCCCTGCCCTGCCCTGCCTTCCCCTTTATTCTGCCAGCTGGGCCAGCGAGACGTGCGGCTATGGAGGTTGAAAGGCTAACGCGCGGTCCTCCGAACGAAAGCCAGGAGGTAGCGCGACTGAACGGGTGGCGCCGGCGGTTGAAACCCGTTTTAGAACCGTTAGCAGTCTGCTCCCTGGTTTTGCTGATATTGGCGGCCACGATGCCGTTGGTGGGCGCCGCTGAGGCTGCCCAGAGCTTCGGCTACGGCGACGAGAAGTGCCACTACTACGCCGGGGGCGAGGTGTATCCTGGCGAGGCATCGCGGGTGCCCGTCAAAGACCACTCACTCCACCTCAGCAAGGCCAAGAGTAAGTACACAAAAAGGCCGCCGCGCCTTATGGCCGGGAGAGGGGGACAGGGCGAGGCGGAGCTGCCCGAGCCAGCCTCTGCCTTGTCTTTTCAGTCCTTGAGTGAAGGAAAGACCCGAAGCTCCGTCTTCTCCCCGTCGCCGAAGCTGTATCCTTCCTAATTGCAAGTGGCAAAGACCCAACTTGAAAGGCCGTACTTCTCGCACAACGCCTGATCTTATTGTCCTTAAGAGCATTTGGTCTTCCTCAGTCGGGCTCCAAGAATGGTTTGCACTTAAAGTGGGAGGCCGTGGGAAGTCCTACACATTTGGAGTGCTATTAGGGAGAAAGCTGATGCATTGCATGGTAACACAAAGGGCCGTGGTAGAGCTTGAAATATATGTATTGTGATGCCAGTGTTCCTTCAGGAAAAGAGTCACAACAAGTCTTGCTCACTTGTCATATATGATGTTTTAATAACAGTATGGAGTTAATAAAAAGTCTTTCTTCAAAAACTCAGAAAAGGATTGAAATGTGAACTTTTCGATAATCACTATGAGCACAGAAGATATGGGTTAAATTGAACAGCAATCACAAATATTGTTCCAAATATCTGCTAAATAAAACTTCAGACAAGGTTTAAAGGACACGTCAGGAAAGTTTCTGGTGTAATGAGTCATACAAAGAAGAAAGAGAATCAAAGTCATGCTTTTAAAAACATTTGTTTGGGGCCTAGTTCTGAAATGGTAGAAAAATCTTACTACACTTGATACGTTTCTAAAAATTTCTAATGCTGTTATACTAGCAGTTCATAAATTAAATAAATGGTACAACAGACAAACCTATCCTTTCACTCTGACATACACCTACTTGACTTTCTTTGTAAATTTTACTAGAATTATTTACAAAACTGCTACCCCCTTTTTTCTTGGATGTGTCTATCATTGGTTTATTGGCAAATGTTTCAGACTATTTTATAGATTAAAATTTATTATTAATCCATTACAGAGTTCTTGGGAAATAATTCTAAAATATCAGACATTTTAAAATATCCATACTGCATACATATTCTGTTACAAGCATGTTCCAATAACATCCTCAGTTGTCTTTCTAACTTCAGTATTATATACTGAGAATATAGAGGTCAGTAAAAAAGAATATATATAGGTATAAAATTGCTCAGCTAAGAATTTATTTTTTCTTTTCTAGCCTGAATTGCAATTCAGTCTCTATTTGTTATGATCGTAAGTCTGAATTTTGTTTCAATGGCATTAGGTACTTGCTTCTATGAATTTTTCTGTGTGTGTGTATACTAATTTATGAACATAAGTGTGTATATATAATCTTTATATACACACACATACAGGCACACCCATACAGTACACTAAATCATGAAGAATTAATACTTTGAAGAAATTTGTCAGCATATTTTATCACTATGAACATAAACATTTACTGTATTTTGGGGAGTATAAGATGCACCTTTTTTCCTCAAAAAAGAGGCTGAAAATCTGGGTTATACACCAAATACAGCATTTTTTGCTTCCCGAAGCCCTGCTCCCTTCATCAAAATGGCCGTGCATAGCCTTATGGAGG